ACATGCCGCGTGAGAATCGGTGTCGCGTTCGCTCGTTCCTTACTGTGCCATACTATACAGAGTTCGCAAAGTGCGACTCGCGAATATCCGTGGCGCGAGTTACGCGATAAAATAAACCGACGACGAACCGACAGACAGCAAGTAGACGGAGCGGCAACGACGCCTCGCTTAGGTCATATATCGCATCACTGCGCGGAGCGCGTACAACAGCTCTGCTTGCATTCGCGCTTCCAGAATCATCAGGTTCACGTGCACCTGGAAAGAGATGATAAACAGCACGTTAACAAAGCCAAGTGGATCTTATGGGAAATCTAATTTTATAATAAATCATGCGTGCACATCGGTCAACGATTTATTTTACGTTAAAGAAATTCGGAAATAAAATTAAAATGTACCATCCGAAAATCTGAAGTTTAATTAATATCAACGTTTAAAATCAAAATGTAAAATTAATAATATCATTTATCGTATTCTAGCATCGTCTTGTCTACTACATTCCACTCGTTTCTCTCTACAAACAAATAAATAAATACTATCATCGAATGTGAATAAACAAATAAATAAATAAATAGCAAAACACGCAAAGCTGCGTGTTTCAATTTCAACGATAAAAAAAAAAAAAAAAATACAAATCAACTTAACATGCAGATCCTGCATGTTAAAGTCTGAGTCACTGCGATAACACGTGAAACCGAAATGCATACGCCACTCAGGAAAATCATGTGTAAATAACATTATGCATATCTTCTGACGTAAACAAACGAGCAAAGCGATAAAAAGGATCGAGGTAAGACCGCTACCAACCTTCTCGCTGTGCTTGAACTCCCTCATCACGCGATCGTAGTCCCTTTTCGTCACACGTTCCGGATAGCAAACGGCGCTCTTGATAAACGTCTTCAGGCTACGCTCGAGCAGCTGGTTCACCTCGTTGTAATCGTAATCGTCGTGCCTGATGCCGAACATGCATTGAATGTAGTTCCAGATCGCTCGTCTGAAACGGGACGTGTCCACCTTGCTGTGCGTGCCCATTGTGTAGTAGGTGAGGTTGTAGGCTGTCTTGAACTTATCGTCGAGGAGATTGCCGACGTCGTTGTAGAGACGGTTCACCAGCGAGTAGCCGTGATCGTCCCAGGAGTAGTCTTGCACGCGGAACGTCGGTATGTCGTTCAGTTGACCACGCTGAAACGAGAAATCGACGTCGATGGTCAGATTATATGTACAGACGATAAACAAAAGAAAGGAAAATAAAGATAAATAAAGATAGGTATCAAAATCCAGATTCTCCAAGAAAGAAGACACCACCTTGTCTCACTTTAAATCAAACTTGCAAAATTTGCTCTCTCTCTCTTTTTTTTTTTTT